ATCTCTTCTCTTCTCTTCTCTTCTCTTCTCGTCTCTTCTCTTCTCTTCTCTTCTCTTCTCTTCTCTTCCTCCCTCCTGTATTCGGAGCGGAGCGGAGCTCCGCTCCGAATACAGGAGGGAGCGGAGCGGAGTGAAGAGCGGAGTGAAGGGAGCGGAGTGAAGAGCGGAGCGGAGTGAAGAGCGGAGCTCCGCTCCGAATACAGGGAGCGGAGTGAAGAGCGGAGCGGAGCTCCGCTCCGCTCCGCTCCGCTCCGCTCCGCTCCGCTCCCTCGCTCCGCGCCGCTCCGCTCCGCTCCGCTCCTCTCCTCCTCCTCCTCCTCCTCCTCCTCCGCCTCCTCCTCCTCCTCCTCCTCCTCCTCCTCCCCTCTCCTCCTCCCCCCCCTTCTGCCCCGCTTTCCGTCCCGGCCCTCTTTGCCCCAGGAGGGTGGGGAGCGCTCGGGCTGATGGGGTGGCCGAGCCAGCCGCGGCAGCGCCGCCGTCACCGCTGGCGGTCGTCGTCGTCGTCGTCGTCGTCGTCGTCGCCGCCGTCGTCGTCTTTGTTGTCTTTGTCCTCTTTGTGGTCGTTTTCTTTGTCGTCGTCGTCGTCGTCGTTTTCGTCGTCGTCGTTGTCGTCGTCGTCGTCGGCGTCGTCTTTGTCGTCTTTGTCGTGTTTGTCGTCGTCGTCTTTGTCGTCTTTGTCGTCTTTGTCGTCTTTGGCGTCGTCGTCGTCGTCGTTGTCGTTCTCGTCGTCGTCGTCGTCGTCGTCGTCGTCGTCGTCGTCTCGTCGTCGTCGTCGTCTTTGTCGTCGTCGTTGTCTTTGTCGTCGTCGTTGTCGGGTCAAAACCTGCCCGAAGTCGGTCCACACACTTCTCCCAGGGTCCATCCTGGCCAGTTTGTGGAGCTGCGCCGAGCCGTGGCGGCGAGAACCTCCAGACGCCGCCACAATTTTTCTGAAACGTGGAACGAGGTCATCGACGCCGTCGACGCCGTCGTCGTCGTGGTCGTCGTCGTCGTCGTCGTTGTGGTCGTGGTCGTGGTCGTGGTCGTGGTCGTCGTCGTCGTCATCGTTCTCGTCGTCGTCGTCGTCGTCGTCGCCGTCGTCGTCGTCGTTGCCATCTCACTGCGGCCGCAGGACACTGCGGCCCGCGGCGCGGCAGTGAAGGCCGGGGGCGAGGACTGGGCGGCGCGGCGGCTGCCGCGGCGCGCCGTCGGCGATGGGGACCGGCGGCGACGACGTGGGGTGATGGTGGCGATGTGACGGCGGCGATGGGGGAGGATCGATCGCATAGCAAAATCTACCCCAGTAAAGCGTTTTCATAGCAGCAAAGGTGAAGAGGCGGGTCGGGGAGTGGAGAGGCACGGCCAGGAAGCCCATCAGAAAGAAAATGCAGCCAGGCCATGGGTGACAGCATGGCCATGTGCACCGTAGTGTGTTTTTGCAAGGGAGGAGGAGGAGGAGGAGGAGGAGGAGGAGGAGGAGGAGGAGGGGGAGGAGGAGGGGGAGGAGGAGGAGGGGGAGGGGAGGGGGGGGAGGGGGGAGGAGGAGAGGAGGAGGAGGAGGAGGAGGAGGAGGGAGGAGGAGGAGGAGGAGGAGGAGGAGGAGGGAGGAGGAGGAGGGAGGGGGAGGAGGAGGAGGAGGAGGAGGAGGAGGAGGAGGAATGATAAGAATAATAATAATACTAATAATAATAATGATAATACTGGTAATAATAGTAATGCTAGTAGGAATGATACTACTAATAATACTAAGAAGAATAAGAACAATAATACTAATACTCATAAGAAGATTAATAATACTAAGACGAATAGCAATACTTTGCAGACGGATGATAATACGATTAAGAATATGAAGCATACGCAGACGAATAACAATACTAATCATACTAATAATGATAATGAGAATGCTACGAAGACTCATAATAATAAGAATAATAATAAACACCAGGAAGAATCATACTACGAAAAACAATACTAATAAGGCGATGAAGAATATTAGTAATAAGAATACGATTATGAAGGAGAATAATAATACTAATAAGAAGCATAATAACACTAATACTAATACTAAAAAGAATAATGACAATAAGACTAAGAATAATAATATTAAGAATATCAAGAAAAATAAGACTAATAATAATACCAAAAATAAAAAGAAGACGAATAAGAAGAGGAGGAGGAGGAGGAGGAGAAGGAGGGGGAGGAGCAGGAGCAGGAGCAGGAGCAGGAAGAGGAAGAGGAAAATGATGATGATGATGATGATGATGATGCTGATGCTGATGCTGATGCTGATGCTGATGCTGATGCTGCTGCTGATGATGATGATGATGCTGATGATGATGATGATGATGATGATGATGATGATGATGATGATGATGCTTATGATGCTGCTGCTGCTGATGATGATGGTGATGATGATGATGGTGATGATGATGACGATGATGATGACGATGATGATGATGATGCTGATGCTGATGCTGATGCTGATGCTGATGCTGCTGCTGATGATGCTGATGATGATGATGATGATGATGATGATGATGATGATGATGATGATGAGTCAGGAGGAGGAGGAGCAGGAGCAGGAGCAGGAGCAGGAGCAGGAGGATGAGAAAGGGAGGAGGACAATGGGAGGAGGTGAAAGGGAGAAGGAGGAGGAGGAGGAGGAGGAGGAGGAGGAGGAAGAGGAGGAGGAGGCGACCCTTGGAGCGGTGCTTCGTGTGGCGCCTGGCGTTACGTAGTTTGATCACCCCCCAGGGCCTACCGACCGGAACTGGGGGGAGGCAGCACCCATCGTGACCTCATGCCACCAGGAAAGAGGAACCAGGAGGAGGAGGAGGAGGAGGAGGAGGAGGAGGAGGAGGAGGAGGAGGAGGAGGAAGGAGGAAGGAGAGAATGAGGGATGAGGATGGGATGGGAAAGGGGCAGAGGGAGTGGAGCAGGGAGGAGGGGGGAGGAATGGTGGAGGAGGAACAGCAGGGGGAGCGCCGCGCTGCCTGCGCCCTCCGCCCCCTCCCCTGCCCACGCACGGCGGCGGGACGCGTCGCCCTGTCTTCGGCCTGCCGCCAGCATGCAATGCTCGCTTGGGGATCCCCCCAGGCACGGACGCGGCCAACTCGGTACGATCGAAATGGGTATTGAAATAACGGGCGCGAAGACCGACAGCAGTTCCTGTTCGTTTTTGAGCAGGTATCGCTGTCGGTGCCGCTGCGGGCGGTGTCCATGTGAGACAGAAGGCCGCCTGCCCAGCAGCGGCAGCTGTCGGTTTTGGACAACATATTGTTGGGTGTCGTGCCATTTTTTCGTACCCATTTCGGGCGTCCAAAGATATGAGGAGCAGTTCGGCCAACACGTTGAAATAAGATATACGGCCGAGCATCCGATCCACAGGCCTCCTATCGAAGAGCCAGGCCAGCGTTTCTGAAGTGGCTTGCCAGAAAGTTGCAATGCAAACCGATGCAGCGCGATGCAACGCAATGCACAGTACCGCGGCGACGGTGGCAACGGGCGGCGACGGGCGGCGACAAGCTGGCCGCACCGCCAATGGGGCCTAGTTACGCGGCGGCGACGAGCGGTGACAGGCGGGGACGAGCCGGCCAGACCGCCACCTGGGCCCAGTTACTGCGAACACAAGTAGGACCCCCCAAGGGCAAGCACTGTCTTGGGAGTTTTCTGAGTCCTATCTTCGGCTGGATGGTCAGGAGCACTGGCTTGGCGTGCCGCGCCGCCGGTCCTGGCCCACGCTTCGGCGCGACACGCGATCCACGTCCCAGTCCTCGAGCGTCAACCTCCCGAGTTTCTCCCAGCCTCCCGCCTCGCGCAGCGGAGCGGCACGCTATCCGCTCGTTGAGTATAGCGTGCCGCCGGGGCCGCCGCTGCGACACGCTAAGCAAAAGTTCCCGACCGTAGCTCGAGGTCGGGCGGCAGGGGCAACGTTCGGGGGGACTGGGCTTAGGGGGGGGGGATGCGTCGACCCCCGATCGCACACGGATCGTCGCATAGGGGCCTGATAGCTCACCCCGCCAAGGAGCGTCTGGATTCGCTATCGGGGGCCGATCGCCGATTTGTCGGCGGCGCATCGCCGATTCCAGGTCGATGTTGCTCACCCTGAGCCAGTCCCTCCTTCAACGTTCCCCCGCAGGAAGGGGCTCGCTATTCCTGAGGTCCTCCCATGGGTTGTTCATCCAGCGCTTCTCTCACACCCTGGCGTCCTGGGGACCAACACGGGGCCTCGCTCCTCATTTCGCGCTCCATCTGGTAGTAGTCTAATTGCAGGGACGAGGGCGAGGATGACAAGGACTTTTTTTTCGTTTCGTCTCCTCGTCCCTGTCGTTCGTAGCGTCCTCCTCGTCCTGCTCCTCCTCCCCCGGCTCTCGATCCCTCCCACGACTGCTTGCTGACTCGGGTATTCACTAGAGAATCCTTATGGACGTGGGGAGGAGGATAACATGTTTTACTCCTGCGTGTCCACTTCCTCCCTCTCCGTACCCATCTGCTTCCCGATCTCCTCCTCGACTGCCTGCTGCCTCGCTCGTTCAGCCGAGGATCCCCTTGGCGTGGGCCCCGACTACAAGGGCTTCAGGAGCGGAGTTCGCCGTCGCCGACGCGTGCGCCTGCGCGACTTCCCTGGTCCCTTTCACCGTCGCTTCTGCCCTGACTGCCGTTCCGTCCGCAGTCTCTCGTTCTTCGGCTCCTCCTTCCCCACCTCCTCCCCCAGTCCTTTTCCTCCTCGTCCTTCTCTTTCTTTTTCTTCTTCTTCTTCTTCCCCTTCTCCTCCTCCTCCTCCTCCTTCTCCTTCTCCCTCCGTAGCCAGTTTGGCTCAAGGCTAAACGTTGTGAAGGACTATAGGCGTCCGAGAACCAGCGATCAGCTTTGGCCCTTCCGTAGCTAGCTTTCAAGCTCGGGCAAAGGGCCCACGATGTTGGTTTCCACAATCCTTCTAGTGCCACAGTCTCTCCCACATGTCTTCCGCCTCGGGGATGGTGGTCGACATCCGCCAGCAAGCAGGCTCGTTTGGGCGGTAATGACCCCGACCTGATGGCGATTCTGCGGGAGATTCGCACCAGCACGGCGACGCGCGGCGATGTCACGGAGATGAAGTCCACGCTGAAGGCGCACTCGCAGCATATTTCCAACCTGGACGCTCGCATGCGCGCCATCGAGTCTCAGTCTCAAGCCAGCTACCAAGCCGCTGCCGATGCTGTTCGTGCTGAGCTCGACGCCCGTGTGGAGTCGCAGATCAAGCAAGTCAAGGAGCAGACCACGCGAACGATGCGCAGGAGCTCACCCAGATGAAGTCCCGCTCAGCCACCTCTTCTGCAGCCTCGACCGCGTCTGGAGCAGCATCGTCATCAGCAGCCCCCGCAAGTGATAACCGCAAAGTCTGGGTGGCGGGCTTCCCCAGACCCATGCTTACCAGAGTGTTGAATGCTCACGCTGTCGGATTGGTTGCCCGTTACGTTCCGACTGGCAAGCCTGCAGAGATTAATGTTCACAGTGTTCAGTCCGCTTGCAGTATGTGGTTCTCTACCAGCGAGGCCGCCAAATATTTCATCACCAGAGCCCGTTCCCTCGGGGTCTCCTGGGCCGACCCTCGCTCGCTAGTCAAAGTGCAGCTCAAAGTTTGCCAAGATGCCCCGCCAGCCATCCGCAATATCAACCGCATCTTGGCCTTGCTCTGGTCAAAGGTCAGCGACGTGGCCAAAAGTTCTAGCTCATGGAGTGCTTCGTACCAGCTTGGCTCGCAGCCGCATCGTGGAGTGCTGTGGTTGGTCGCCAACGACGAGACCGAACAGCTTTTCAAGGTCTCAGGGTTGGACACGCCGCAGCTAGACGTGGAGGCCAACGTAGCAGCGCTCAAGCGGCTCGGCTTCACCGGTCAGATGATCCAGGAGACCGTGGACGGACTTCTGCTGTAGGAAACAGCCTCGCCATCCCAGCTATTTCATGGCCGTGTGCACACTTTTGTCGGGCGATAGTGATGAGAGCGATTGTGATGATGTGTGTGTGTGTGTGTGCTTGCTGCAGCTGCCAGTTTGGGCAAGTACTTTCAGCGTGTTTTCCCGTTCTTGACCGAGATAGAACAACCGAGTTTTACTCACAGGGTGGAGGGCTATGATGATGGCAAGAAAATTGTGGTGTCTCTGGGTCGAATCGATCGGGTCTACGCGTTGCTTCCGCCAGCTTTGATCATTGATCTGTCGCGTTCTTCTGGCGCGATCGGGTGTGCTGCAGATATCGCGCAGCTGTAAGACCACGTGCCCATTTTCTTGTCTCTGGTTCCGGATGGACGGTCTGGGCACCACCGCGTCCCTCCCTGGGTCGCAAAGCACATTGTTTCCCGAAGTTTTTCAGGAAGTGCTCGAGGGCGCTGGTGAACGGTCCCTGGAACCCATCGAGAATGTCGAGGAGATCCGCGCGGCGATCAAGGTTGCTGCCGGAATGGTTTTGAGTCGTCTAGAACATCTTGGCGCCCAGTCTCTACCCGAGTAAATTTCTTGGGCTCATGCGGGCCGTCAGGGCCCAAGAGCCAGGTGTGCTCCGTTGCGCGTTGCAGGCCTACAACAGGCTCCAGCAGTTCTTTGTCGCCCAGACTTGCGCCTGCTCCAACTTTGTGGGTTTCCACGCGTTCCTTGCGGGGTTGAAACGACAACAGATTGACGAGCACATCAATGAGATGCGAGCTGGCGACGACATTCGCCTTCAAAACGCAAGACTATGACGACGACGCTTTACACCTGCCGCATTGCATGGTAGACCAAAGGTGATTCTGTTTCTTTCCAGGCGAATGCCGATCCATTAGGTGTTCCGATCTTTGACCCGCAAGCTGGCGCTCGTGAACTTGCGCGGCGCTGGTGTTCGGTCCACAGCGCCGTCGATCTAGATGCTAGCGCCTTCGACGAGCTGAGCGCGCGTGCCCAGCAGGTGCCAGGCATTGTATTATGGGCTATGGAGGAGGAGGAGTTTATCCACATGTTGAAGACAACCAAGGACAGCACCCCGGAGCCAGACGGCATTCCCTGCTCCGGGTGGTCTAAGGCGGGGGAGGTTGCAGGTCGTGCGCTGTGCGGTTTTTATATGCACATTCTGTCCACGGGAGAGTGCCACCCCGAGTTCAAGTTCGGGCACGATGTTTTCCTGGCCAAAGGGGGCGACCGTCGCGATCAGGAATTATGTGTGCGTGCCCCGTCTATTGCCCGCCCTCTCGCCGTGTCATGTACCTCTAACAGGGTCATTTCGCTGGCTATCATCGTCCTCTCGCTGCTGTCTGCAAGTGCACGTGCACCGCCGAACAGCGCGGTTTTATCGCGGGCCGCAACGTGAGCGAACCTATTTTCGAGCTTGAGTTTCGGGCGTTGTGCGGTTTATTACAGCGTAACGTGGCATCCACGGGTCTGATCCTATACGATGTGCGCGCTGCCTTCCCTAGTCTGCTGCGCGGCGCCATCTTCGACGCCCTGCGCGCCATGGGCGTCCCCGCCTTCTCTGTGCGTGCCATCCAGTGTCTCTACGCGAATGTTTGGACGTCCATCGTTTACCGTGGCCACCGCTCAGACGCGGGCCACTGGTTTCAGCGCGGCATCGAGCAAGGATGCCCTGCCAGCGGCTCGTTGTTCGCGCTGGCCGTCGACCCCGCGCTTCGGAAGATCTGCCTCCTTTTGCTTCGTCCTGTGAATAGTCTGGGAGCTTTCGCGGATGATGTAGAGATCAGATTTGGGGATATCTTGAACGCGTGTATCGAAAGCATGACCGCGTGGGCCTTCGCGGGCCCTGGGGCTATGCATTGACGTGGGCCAGGCCGTCGTCGTCCTCCCGGGGATGGTGGTGGCAGATTTTCGCGCGGGGGTAGTTGCTAGAGGGCTCCCTGCTCAAGGACTCCAGCTTCGGCCTCATGGGCGATACTTGGGCGTGCATATTGGGCCTGGCAGTGCTGGTGCCTCCTGGGGTCCTGCTCTGCTAAAATATAACAAGCGTGTTCAGATGATCCGTGGTTTGGGGTTGGGCCTCGCGAAAACCATCGCCCAGTACAACATGATCGGTTTTTTCGGATCTTGCGTTTCTTGGGCAGCTGTTCGAACCCACTCGTGATGTCATAGGGGCCGAGCGCCTGGGGTTTTAGAAACTGTCTGCTGGGCCCTGACGACGCTATCGCGTCGACGATGATGCACGGTCTCGTCTCGGTAGGCTTCCCGCTTGACGCGCGGTCCATCGAGCTCACTGGTCGCTCGGCTCGGCGCCGTGCGGTGTGCTGCCCGCCCTCCTTCCTCTCTTTGCTGGCGGCGCTTGCAGAGTCTGGTTCCGACTATGATTGCGCCATCTTGTGGCGCGAGAACAGATGGTGGAAAGGCGGCGTTTTCGGTGACTTGTTTCGCAATCGCGAGAGCCTCACCCGCATTCCCGAGACAGTGCGTGATGCTATTCCGTTGCAGAAGAGGTCGGAAACAGGATTGTGCCGTCGTTCTCTCCGGTTGGTGATGCCCACAATTGTTTTCAGACTTCGGAAACTGCGCCCCCCTCTGAGTAGTCAGCACGCCGATTTGTTTTGATGGCCTTTCTGACGGCCTCCCCGCTCGTTCCTCCGTCGGCCCTCTCCTCCCTCCTTAAGGCCGTGTGTAATTGCTGGTGTGCTTCGGGGCGGTTTCGTAACCTCGCCAATCCCTGCCCGATGTGTAGCCTTGCTGGAGGTGATACCCTGCAGCGCATTCTCGAATGCCCCAATTCCGACTCGCTTGGGATTTTCCAGTCTGCCTCCCCTGCTGCCTTCTGCCTTGCTGACGGCAAGACGAGAATTCATATTTACCAGTTTTTTCCGTCCCTCAATGATGCTCGTGTTTCCATTGTCTTATATTTTGATGTTTGCTTTCGTGCTTATCACACCCATCGGGATTGTGGGGGACGAGCCCGCGAGATAGGGAGCGCCTGTCTACGACAGCTCGTGGTGCGGCAGCCCGCGCTTGTGTCGGCCACGCCCCGCAATGCACGGATTGACCCGAACGCTTTGCCCTCTTCTCTTCTCTTGTCCGCCTGCCTCGTTTGGTCTCTTATCTTGGTGAGTGCGCTCTTTCTCCTTGTCCCATGGCAGATGCAAAGCTTCCTCCTTCTTCTTCTTCTTCTCCTCCTCCTCCTCCTTCGTTCCCTCTTTATGGTTTTCGTCTTTTTCTTATTGTTGTCTTAATATTCCATGGCAGAGGTCGGGGACATGCTGCCACATGCCGACCGGCCAGCTTCCCAATCGATGAGCCTTTGCGGTTCTTGTGGTGTTCCTGTTCTACCTTGTGCCCCAACCTTCCCGCACTAGTTATGTATCATGTTCGCCATGCCACCGCCGTGCTTCTTAGAATCCCGCCCGGCTTCAAAACAACCTCCTTAGAAGTTTCTGGGGCCTTCTAAGCAGGCTACTGCCTTGAAGCTCATCGCTTCGTTTTGGTCGCCTTCAAGTAGTCGTCCCCGTCCTCCTCTTGCCCCTTGTCCTCGACCTCGCCGCCCTCTTCCTCCTTCGCCTCCTCGTCTTGCTTCTCCGCAGAAAATTTGCTGGACCCGTCGATGGCCCGCACTTCTGGCCCGTCGGCATGCGCAGGTCGA